CAACAAGAGCGACCATTTATTTAGGTACATGGAATGTTCGTACAATGTGGGACACCGGGAGAGTCTTCCAAATCGCTGCAGAAATGAGGAGGTGCAACCTGGAGGTGTTTAGGACCAGTGAAACACATTGGACGCAAGTTGGACAACAACGACTAACTTCAGGAGAGTTTCTGTTATACCCCGGCCATGAAGAAGAAAATGCCCCATATACACTAGGATTTGCATTGATGCTGTCCAAACGAGCACAAAATGCACTTATAGGATGGAAATCTCATGTACCAAGGATAATCAAAGCCTCCTTTAAAACATAAAAGGAGGGCATTTCAATGAATATCATCCAATGCTACGCGCCTACTTACGACTATTATGAAGACGCTAAAGATCAATTCTACGATAGGTTGCAGTCAATCATCGAGAAGTGTCCAACAAAGGACCTGATCATTCTGATGAGAGATTTCAATGCCAAGGTTGGAACGGACAACACTGGATATGAAGACATCATGGGACGACAAGGACTGGAAGAAAGAAACGAAAATGGTGAGAGATTTGCAAACCTATGTGCCTTCAATAAACTGGTCATAGGTGGCACCATATTACCACATAAGCGCATTCACAAAACCACATGGATTTCACTGGATCACACCACGCAAAACCAAATCGGCCATATCTGCATCAACAAAAATTTCAGGAGAACGATGGAAAACGTGAGAACCAAGAGAGGATCTGATATAGCATCAAACCATCAATTGCTGTTCTCCGAGATGAAATTGAAACTTGAGAAGCACTGCACAACGGGGTGGACAATATCACAAAAGTTCAGTACGGCCTTTCTTCAGGATACTGACAAACTCAACAAATTCAAGATAGTCCTCAGCAATAACTTCCAGGCTTTTCACGATCTACTTAATGGAGAAGGAACTACTATGGAGAGTAACTGGAAGGTAATGAAAGAGGCAATCATTTCAACATGTCATGAGGTTCTGGGCCACAAAAAGCATCATCACAATGAATGGATCACTGCAGATACACCGGATAAGATTCAAGGAAGAAGGAACAAGAAAGCAGCAATCAATACCATTCGAAAGAAGGACATCTGATCAAAATACAGAAGAAAGACGATCTCAACATCCGTGATAACTACAGGGGCTTACTCTTCTTTCAATACCTGGAAAATTCTTCAACATGGTGTTGTTAAACAGGATAAAGGACTACATAGACGACCAATTTCGTGATCAACAGGCAGGATTCCGTAAGGATAGATCGTGTACAAACCAAATCGCAACACCACGGATTATTGTGGAACAATCAATAGAATGAAATTCATCACTCTACATCAACTTCATTGACTATGAGGAAGCACATGATAGTGTGGACAGAACAACACTATGGAAGCTTCTTCAACACTACGGCGTGCCTCAGAAGATAGTCAATATCATACGGAATTCCTGTGATGGATTAAACTGCAAAATCTTGCATAGACGACAGTTGACAAAGTCGGTCAAAGTGAAGACCGGTGTGAGGAAAGGTTGCTTACTCTCACCCTTTCTCTTTCTCCTGGTGATCGACTAGGTCATGAAGACGTCAACATTTGAAGGGAAGTACGGGATACAGTGGACATCTAGGATGCATTCAGACGATCTATACTTCGCAGATGGTCTGTCCCTTCTATCCCAAACGCAACAACAAATGCAAAAGAAGACGACCAGTGTAGCATCAGTCTCAGCAGCGGTAGGTCTCAATATACACAAAGGGAAAAGCAAGACTCTCCCATACAACAAACACAACATGCACCAATCCAATCACAATTGACGGAGAAGATTTGGAAGTTGTAAAAACCTTTACATATCCAACCAGAGCAACCATTAATTTACGTACATGGAATGCTCATTCAAAACAACCGTCAAACAACACCAAGGTCAGGATTTTCAACACAAATGTCAGCACAGTTCTACTGTATGGAGCGGAAATCTGGAGAACTACGAAAGCAATCATCCATAAAATGCAGGTGTTTATTAATAGTTGTCTACGCAAAATAATTCAGTCCGTTGGCCGGACACTATTAGCAACAACATACTGTGGGAGAGAACAAACCAGATCCCAGAGGAGGAAGAAATCAGGAAGAAGCGCTAGAAGCGGATAGGACACACATCGATGAAAGCAACCAACTGCGTCACAAGACAAGCCCTCCATTGGAGTCCTCAAGGCCAAAGTAGGAGAGGAAGACCAAAGAACACATTACGCCGGGAAATGGAGGTAGACATGAGAAAAATGAACAAGAATTGGATGGAACTAGAAAAGAAGGCCCAGGACAGAGTGGGTTGGAGAATGCTGGTCGGCGGCTTATGATCCATTTGGAGTAACAGGTGTAAGTAAGTAAGAACTGACACAGGAAAACTGGAAAGGAAGCCGACCCACACAGATCCAATTCTCAACTACAACAGCAACAACCTAAGAGCTCACAAAATCAACTGCGTACACACTTTGTTCAAGAAAGCGAGGAGGCACTGCAGAACACTTGCAGCACGAAAAAATGAAGATAAATATCTGAAGGATGTATTTCAAAAGAACGGCTACCCAACCAACTTCATCTAAAAATACCATCCGCACGCATCCTCAGAACCCAAGTCAAGCACAGAAATCAACAAAAGGATCGCCCTACTATACATAAAAGACATACCAGAAACCTCAACAAGACTGCTGAAAACCTACGGGATAGGTGTGGCACACAAACCGACAAAATCACTTCAACCAATTCTATGCAAACCAAAGGATGAAATGACAAAGGAAAACAAATCAAACATCATCTACAAAATAAATTGTACCAACTGTGAAAAACAGTACATCGGACAAAGCGGACACCCCCTTCATCTTCGCCTACACGAACATCAATTAGCAGTCGAACGCCATGATATCTCTTCACTTATATCTATACACGTGGACAACTGTGGAAACTCATTCGATTGGAAAAATGTAGAAATCTTAGACAGAGGAAACTCCAAAAACAACAGAATTTTTAGAAGCTTGGCACTCAGGTCAATCAGCAATCAACAAGCACGTTGAAACCGATCCAATTTATCAACCAATCAGGAAAATTATTCACAAACATAGGAACAAAAATCACATCAATGGGAGACAACCAAAAGAAAGAAGTAAACAATGACAAATTTAAGGCCAATAAGAACCAATCAACATCGAGGTGTACAGGACAAGCTATGAAACATATATGGAGAAAATCGAACACTTCACTTCTATCTGAAGTTTGTGCTGATGATGTCGTTCAGAAGAACGATGAAAGCTCCACAACTAAACCATCCAGCTCAGAGAACAAAAATCCATAAAAAACTGTATATATGCTTTGAAACAAGAACAGCTATTTACAAAAGGTAAAAAGGTTTTCGGTTTTGATTGACCAATATGGGAAGTACTATTCAATCTACTTCATAGTGACTTTCTTCAGCGGTTATTATGTTGAGAGAACAAAGAAGTATTAGAAAGTGATAGTGAAATACAGTTCTGAGTCCATATGAATATATCACGTTGTCTCTTGAAAGACTCTCGAAAAGTCGCTTTTTCCATCTCAGTAAGCAGAGAAATTCAGAATTCAACCACTCGCAAAGTGTAGAATGTGTTCCTTTGGCCCATTATTATATGTTGTGTCTCTCAGTCAGTCAGCTAAAACGTAAGACCACGTACATATGTGCATCGGTCCAAGTTGCAATACTGTTGAGTCTCTAATTTCTGAATGTTACTGCTAAGTCTTGTTAGGATATCCAAGCGTGTTTAGGATACTATAAGTCATTAGAAGGCCACGCCCATGCTCTACTGGATAAAATTTCATTGTCTTAAGACGCTCTCCATGAGGCTTGAATTTGCGTGATTTCGTGGCTCGCCGATGCATACATTTCACAGTATCTTTAACTATGTGAATTAAGGGGAAAACACTTTGCTCCTGAACTCCCTTCTTCCAGTAATGACTTGTTTGACGTAACATACAATGAGTTTAACCTTAAGAAACGGTTAGGATAACAACTGATGTACAGAATTATAGCTTACATCGATCAGTGCCTCTGAAGTGTCTGCCTTTAATGAGAATATCCCAAAAAGTGTTTAGACAGGTTGTTGAAAGTACAATGCGATATGCGGGATTGTGGTTTTACTCCAAACTGCCAAACGCTTGGCCCAAATCTTTCTAACATAGCTCAAAATGGCAGGTATTCAGAATAACAGAAATAAGTGAAATGACTGACCCGTCGCTTAAGTATATACCTAATTCGTCCCAGAACTGCTGACGTCATAGCATTTCCCAAATTGAAAGGTGTTTTGATGAAACAACATGAATCAGTCTCTAAAGTAAAAATGGTTGAGTAAGGGAGCCAGAGGTAATTGGCTTCGAGCACAAGCAGAGGTAGGTAAATACGCAGCTATGAAACTGCTGGCTGCAACAAGTTCGTCTTTACCCATAAAAATTCAACCTATTTGTGGATCAGTGCTTCTCGATATGGAAGACAAAAACGAGGAGCAACTAGTTCTTGAAAAAGAATTCTGGTGTTCGTTGAATAAAACACGTCATCGGAACATTTCAATGTCATTAACTACTTCAATCCACCTCGTTGTGGTTTGACGACTTTAAAACGGAAATGTCTGTACCAGGAGAAGTTCTGCCAGAATACTACTCCACATTCTTGTTGTAGACTTTACCAACTCGCTATCGAAAAGTAAACAAACGTTAGAAACAACTGAAGATTTATCGCACACATATCTCAGAAGTGTGAAATGGCATGCTCCTACTATGTTTCTTGGCTAACTAGTGAAGTGCAAGCAAACAACCGGTTATTCACGACTGACTGAGCGAAAAGACAGATGGAGATACCTCACTTACCATATATGATCAGAGTTTAGGCAAATGTTCCTCAACAATATGTCATTGACAAAAATCTGGACATTCCGTTAGTCAAGTAATTGGACAATCGAATACTGCTACATATAAAAGTGCTAATAGGTGCTTTGAACAAGATTATATTTAGCAGTGGCATGGTTATCGTTTCATTTCAAATTAATAAACGTGTATTGAGTTCTAGGTCTCTTATCGTTACTTTGAACACCACAATGTCATTCAATAAGACACCAAAAACACACAACAGTCGTCCATACAGACGGTTTTTGCGAACCATCGATAATAATCACTGACGTTTATCAAAAACCTACTATTAAAATCGTAATGTGGGAATCAAACACAAAAGGAAATATAGATAAACAGAACACAATAATTCTGTCTCGTAGCTAATTTCGAATTTGACAATATAAAACAGACAGATAAAATCAAAGCGGTATGATAATATAAGATTGGGGCATCCAATGGTAAGGAGCATAAACAATAGCGTCTTATGAAAAAATAATCAGAATCAAAAACAGAAGTAGGGAGATAGACAGCTGATCAAGTTTCGTGTTAATATCCACTACATATTAAAAAGTTTTGAAGTCAATGAACCGACGAATCATGTGAAACGTTGCAGCAGGTTTATCTCGTGGCACCATATGTCCTGCACCCCGTATAGTGGTATACACCAAATTCGATTCATTGTCTGATAGCGATTTCCAGTATCCGCCGATCTGTTTAGTACCATCTTTCTCAACATATAACCAAGGTGAACGGGGAGATATGGTCTAGAGGTTTACAACAAATTTAAAATAATGATAAAGAAATCTATTCATTTAGATTATTATTAATCACAATTTTACATACTTCGCTTCAAGCCATACTCTGTAAGAGCTAGTAAAACAGTTTCGCTTCCTGAACAGGAAGTGGGTGGGGCAGGGTTTGGACCCGAGACATTGTGGCTGAAAAAGTAAACTGCTTCAGCAATAATGACTAACAAATTGCGAGGAGTGGTGTCCTATATCACTTTCATGCATATGAATACCAGTAAACGGTCAAGCGTGACGATGTATTATCGCTTATGTCAACAATATACGTGGATAATTGTGGATAGACGTCCAACTAAGACAACCTTGAAGTCATTCAACAAAGACTACACCAAGATTACAGAATTTTTAGTGGTACTGGTCACCGATCAACAAACACAGTCAAAAACAATTAATTTACTGAAGAATTAGAAAAATCTTATACAATCGAACGATCAGTAAATCGATTCAAATAGGAGGACAATCAAAATAAATATGCAAATAATGCAAGGACTAGTGTTAATCACAATTATCCTTTATCTATATACTTCCTTCTGAGTAAAGTTCCAAAGGAACCATAGGAGGACACCAACAACTACTTCACGCTTACAATCTGATTACAGTAGTAAATGTGAGTTTATTGTAAAGTATGATCATCGGTTAAAAAAAATATGTTGGTGAACGTTGTGGGATGAATGTGTAATGATGAATGAGAATTCATTTCATGATAATTAACAACATTGTTTTACTAACTAAATAGTTATGCCCAACATATTCATTGAACACAAAACAAGTTGATGTCGTGGGTTTATTCATTTCTTTTTAAAACATTGATTATTTACCATGTAAGTGAAGCGGTTCATACATTCGTGTTCTTAAATCAAACGTTCTGTAGTGTTTGTGATATGCCTGTCATCGGGTGTTAAAAGAAGAAGTAGCAACTTCTAAACATACAATTTAGTAATTCAAAAAGTCGACTATTTTATCGTCACTAATAATAACGTCACTCTATATGGAACAAATTAACATACTATGATAAGTTTTTAGTTACAGTATAATTGAAACTAATGTCGAATTAAAATTCAGTGTTATAAACTGTTAAATGAAAAGATCAAAAGTTACAATATTTGATTATCAATACTCGGTAGACAACACATCACCAGTCGTTACAACACCGTGAAACTATAAAGCAAATACTAAAATGTGTAAACTGCTACACATATATCGTAAATAATAAATTAGAATCTGAAATCAAACCGATACGTTCAATAGGTAAACGTTAACATCGCAACATAGTTCAGTCTGATTTAGCAATTTTCACTCAAACTCAGAATTCAGTAATCTAGGCTACTGAAGAATTTGTTCAACACATTATAAAGTCATAATACCAAATATATAAGAACTTTTGTCTACATTTGAGTTTATTTATTTATTTTAACACATAGATATTGGTACAAGGAGGCACCAAATACATATGCACCACACTAATCTTATCCGATATGTGTGACGGCTGTGAAACTGCCCGGGTGCCCCGAGCCTTCGACCTGAAGATCTGATCCACAAAGCAGTGGAGCATCGTAAGCAGATGCAGTCCCATGGAAGCCGGTGACCAACGATTGGTTCATACACCATTTGTTCCTTCAGGATACTGGAGCCCATGTGCACCACTGGTTTGAAATGAGGGTTTTCCAACTCCCCTATATTGACCCACCGTGTCCACCGGCCCGGTTAAAGTGCCGGACATTCTCTTTTCGTCCTCTCATTTTCGTAAACAACACCCCCGCCATGAGAAGGCAGTGAGTAGAACTTCCGTATCAGAGGCTATATACGCGTGGCCTTGAGAGAGAGAGCGAACTCTCCCCACTCTCGGCCGTACCAGGGCATTTGGGGGCCTACATTTGAGTGAATAGTTTCATGGTAGTTGGGTGCTGAGTTAATGTAAGTTATTAAAGAAGATCAACATTTTTGTAAAATTTCAATAGAGTCAGGTCATACAATTGATTTGAATGACACAAGAGTCCCTCAAAAAGATCTTAATTTCCTACAAAGAATGACTAAAATTCGAAGCCCTAAATATATGAGCAAATCCAAATAGTATTAATAAGAAAGATAGAATACGATTAGCTGGCAACTAATAATTAATAAGTAAAACTAAACTCATTATTTCATTTTATATATCACTTATTATTTGAATAACGACAATTACATTTAACTGTTTTAAACAGTTGTCTTATCTGAATATTTTCACAGTGGAAATCATGAGTTGATCTAAGCTAGAATATCATTGAAAACCTGGAAAGCTGTTTCGTCATAATATAGGACTCCTCAACAGTGCCTATTTACGACCTCGCACATGGGACTCGAACCCAGGACCTAAGGCCTCACGTTCCAACATTCAACACATCTAGAGCACTGAGCTGGCAGTCAACGGTGTCGATGTCCAACTTTAATCGATGTTTTTTTCCTATTTAATGTAAACAATGAGTTTATTATTATTATTAATAGTATTTATTCATTGAATAACATACCGTTAGATTTAAATTATCCACAAACCATTCATCGCCAAAATAATTACATGCCATATCAATATCACCATTATATATTAAAATAAAAATCTACAATTGAAAAAGTAAAATAGTTCTCATCCATTTATCAAATAATGTTGTCTTCTAGTTGAAAATCTCTATCATTTCAATAATCAATAGTTTTGTTATATTCATTAATCTAAACAAATTTCTGTTAAAAAAAATAAAAATAAAGAATATTTTTCAATGGTTGAAATCATGAGTTAGTTGAAGTTAGACCACCATGGAAAACCTGGAAGCACTGGATGGCTGTCTCGTCCTATTGTGGGACTCCTCAGAAGTGCATATCCACGATTCCTCTTCGTGAGATTCGAACCGAGGACTTACTGGTCTCTCACACGAGCACTTAACTACTAGACCACTGAGCCGTCTGGAATCCAACGATGTTAATGTCTAACTGCCAACTAATTCATAAAATTGAGCGATACATTCACTGTTATCTTCTTCAATGAGTTACTATCTCACAACAGATCTGGTTGAATTCCATTGGTTATTACTTCACACTAGAACTACAGGATATACTACATAGAGCTAGTCACTAATGTATTGATTAATATTTCAATAAACAATAAGTTTGTTATATTCATTAATCTAAATAAATTTTTAAATTGAACAATGATTTACAATAATCTTATTATCATCATTATTATTATGAGATTAGACTTTATAATTATAAGTTCATAATTATTAATGATATTTTACAAAGGTCAAAATATAAGGCATATTATTAAGATATTAAGGTATATAAATGAAAATTTTTGTATTTTGTAAAACTACTAATTCCGTGAGGAAATGCGAACACAATTAATAAGAAAGGGGTTATAATATTAGATTACGTAATATGAATAATAATAATAATAATAATAATAATAATAATGATAATAATAATAATAGATTAAGTGATTATAATAAGATAATAATTATTATAACAAAAACATTTTAATCATTTTATTATAATCACTAAATCTATTATTATTATTATTATTATTATTATTATTATTATTATTATTATTATTATTCATATTACGTAATCTAATATTATAACCCCTTTCTTATTAATTGTGTTCGCATTTCCTCACAGAATATATGGTATTGTTCAAAAATTTAATGAACATAAATACATTTAAATTGTATGAATTTATAAGTAATAAAAATTAAAAATAATTTAGAATAAAGTATCAAAGTTATAATTAAAATAAAATAGGGGTATAGCAACAACAACAACAACAACAACAATGAAAATGAAAATATAAACAAATTTTGTGAATAAAATAAATAATACGAAAATTGTATCTTGTTAATTCAAGGTAATAATTGATCATAGTAATAATAATATTGTTGTATGAATATACTATATAATAAGAGGAGTATTATCAAGGTTTTGATGGAGTTTTATTCTCTGAACTGGATGGTTTGATCGTGGAACTTTCATCATTCTTCTGAACGACATTATCATCAGCATAAACATTAGATAGAAGTGAAGTGTTCGAATTTCTCTATATGTGTTTCATAGCTTATTCTGTACACTTCGATGTTAATTAGTTCTTATTGTGCTGATGATGTTGTTCAGAAGAACGATGAAAGCTCCACGACTAAACCATTCAGATCAGAGAATAAAACTCCATTAAAATCATGCATTTGAGCTACAAATCTTCTCCACCACCTCAAAATTATATGTGTTATCAAGGTATTCACAATAACAAAGGGATCATGTGAAATGGGAAAGATGAATGTGAAAATTAAGATAGATGTAGTTAAACAAATGAAAGAGGGTTAAGAGGTTTATAATATCCAGTTTACGTAACTGGTGATTCAAGGTGAACATAGAGGCTAGATATATATTTTCCGAATAATTAAGTTTGTTTTTCTGGAGTTGATCCAGATGGCTTCAGCTATGTAAAGTAGCCGTATTCTAGTTCTTTGAAGTGGATTCTTTGGAACTTGAAATAAAACACAGAATGCTTCTACTATTTTGATATGATGTTCATTATCTACCAGCTGAGTAAGAATAGTACTGTTGATCGATTTACTAACTCCATTTCCGAACCACGCTGGTACATGTTCACAAACACGCAAGGATATAGCCCTCTGAGCAAGCGTATGTAACTAGCTCCACAGCATTTGAATTGGTATACATACATGAAGCAGCCCATTATCCGTAACCTAACCTTGATTTGTTGTGTAAGTATTACTTTAATTGAGAAAACTTTACGTAACTTGACGTCGTGAAACGTCCTTTCTACAGTCCTTTTCAGTCGACGTGTTAAAATGCCACTAGCTATGTCCAGTTTCAGATATAGGGATTTTTACTGACTGAATCACAAGTTCTTCTTTTTTCACTAACTTGTACTATGAATTTTCTGACAAAGTCATCAGCATAGCCTTTATTTAGTGATGCGTTCTTTGGTATATCTATTTCTCTGTTTACACTATACTCAGAAAATAATAGCCTGATTCTATCGCTGAAATAATTAACTAAATTCATTTTTTATGGAATAGGTGTGAAGCTTTGGAAATGGGTATACTGACCCGTCCCATGTACTCTTTCTAAATATATTTCGCTTTATGGAACCGCCTATCCTTCTAGAAAGTAGGACATGAAGCAAAGCTATATTATTGTTTTTCACCTCTTCGCGGGTGAATATAATAGTTGGATGGACGTATTCTGCGTTAATCAAGCAGCGAATCTAGCAGGTCTCATTAGCAGTTATCATGCAACTACAACATATCACTGTATATTATCATCTGTCGATCAACATTCTTCTTTTTCATCTCAACTACCGAAAATTTGTTCGTTCTAATCATTAAAAACTTCTTCACAACACTGATGTTACGAAGTGGACTACATTTTGAGATGACCAAGTACGATTTCCTTACACTTAATGAACCATGTTAATAAACTGTTGCTTTCTTATATTTATGCACATACATTCGGCAAATCAAATTAGTTGAAATAATTAACTGAAGCTCACGAATCAAGTTTCGATTCGTAAACTCATCGGATATTATAGCGCAGTTCTATATGTAACGTCAAGAGTGTGGTTAAAACCTGCCGCAAAAGTCAAAGCGAGTCAAACAATGTATTGCGAGCTGGTTACATAGTAGACAACTTTGACCATCACACAAATTTTCATTAGAATCAATGAAGTCCTTTTATACTTTGAAAGTCAGCTCTCTCTGATTCCATAGGGTACAATCTCGGTGATTGAAGACGGTAAATTCAACCAAAATGCAAACTGAGAGGGTTACACCATTAGAATAACAATATCTTTTTGGTTAGAAAAAAACAATATTACACCCAATTTTCATTTTTGTGGTAGGATCATTCTTTATTGATATTATCATCCCTCGTCAGTTCTTTCACACACACACACACATACCGCTTCTTTGATAATAGGCACTGCCTAAACCAAACTTCAAAAAGAAATTTACAATTCTATATGGAAGCAACAAACAAGAATATCGATTCATTTCGTTGCCATTCCATTTTTAACGGTGAAATCAAGGACACAGTAACAAAATGTTAAGTAATTTACGACTGTTGATAGTTCGGGATTCAACTGTATTCTCGCTGAACATTGATTAAACAACCAAGTTCCGACTACAGCCCTATCCGATTGAGTTTATGACAACCAAATATCGTATCATATTGCCGGTTGTTAGGTGATCGGAGGTGGGGTCAAGAGGAAATCCTGTTTAATGCAGGTCTCGTACAAATTATCCCTTATCATCAACAACACATAACTGTAATCTTCAAGAAACGTATAGTTTATAAAACATTCGAACCCATGTCATCCAGCTACACAATTTGTGATATTACCATATGCTTACTAGAGCCGTAACTAGTCACTTTTAAGTATGGGTAATCTAAAATTGGTTAATCATTCACATTGAACACTTCTCAGTGACTAATCAAATGTATCACTAGTTTATGCAAACAATTGCATTGTAACTCAAAGAGCCGGTTACTTCAACATGTACTATATAGATAGGTCTCGTTGATTAAACAAATAGCACAAGCTAAAAGTGTGTACAAAAATAAACCCACCTTAGATTTAAGTAATTTCATATACTGCTCTGTAAGATCATGATAAATTCGAACATAATTGACGTTAACTGTTTCACTGCAAAGATCCCATTCTGTCGGTAAATCAAGTCTTACATTGATAAATCGACGTACTATTGGTGAATTTAAATAACTACGAATCACTGTATCATCTACACATGGTACAACTAAACGAGTAGTCAGATTATGACGTATTAAAGAACTAAAATATCGAAAAAAACGGAAGTTACAAAAGATTGAAAATAATGAGAGAAAAAGAGATAGGTGAATTGAATAGTAAGAGTTTCGGAAATGTAGACTTACAGGGATTATTGTTACTATCAATGAGTCTTGTGTTGTGATATCTTGAATTAGTTATATTCAAAAAGACAATAACGATATGTATCGTAGGATTTCTTGGTTGTATTTGGCTTTTTTTTTCGTCGTAAATCTTCACGTTAGATAGTTCTTTATCGTTGTGAAATTGTCATCAACTAGATCTGTTCTGTTTATTCCTTGTTATACTACAGAAAGATTAATTGATAAACACTAGCTTCATATTTTTCAGTGTCTTTACTGATCTATCTGTCAATAAACAAACTGAAGACTTTGAGTTTCTTTTTTTCTAATAAAGTTTGTCTACTTACGTACAATGATTAACGCTAGGAGGATGAAGTGTGTTGTCCGTTTTGTGAATTTCTCGTAATTGTGCTGATATGATAAGGCAACTTGAAGCAATGTATATTAATCCTGGGCACTAAATATTATTAGTATGATTGAATAAATTGCATCTCAAGTCTTTGTTTTAGTCGTCACATTTCAGCATACTAAACACTATCAATAAGTGTACATATCGATTCAGTCTTTTACCAGGAAATTCGAAGACTAATTAAACAATTATTCTTTCTGTAAGAAAGACTGTAATAATTTGAATTAACTCATTTTTGTCCGATATTCAACATTTACACCCGCCATTTTTTGGCAGCATACACTCAGTGCATTAATTAGTCAATCATATCATTTATTAACATGATCGGTTTTGTGTCATAATCGTTTTCTTTTAAGGGCAGAAGGGAGTTTGTCTCTGTAATACAATTCTGTTTATTCATTCATTATAACATTACAATGTTTATTTAATTGTAATAGTACAATCTTAATGATTATTTATGTGATTTAATAGAATATACACATACCGTTGAGTGACTTTCTGAAAAGTATTAAATGTTTAACTAATTATTTGATTTAACAAAGTATACGTGTTGTAAATTTAAACGCTGCCCTGGGAGTTAGAAAGTCTTCATTTAGAAGAGTTATGACGCCTCATGGTGAAAGCCGAGTTCCTTCAGAAAACATGAGACTGATGCCCTTTCTGACAACCAGAGCAACCATTAGTTTAGGTACATGGAATGCTCGTTCAAAACAACCGTCAACCAACACCAATGTCAGAATTTTCAATACAAATGTCAAAACAGTTCTACTGTATGGGGCAAAGACTTGGAGAACAACGAAAGCCATCACCTTGAACATACAAGTGTTTATTAACACTTGCTTACGCAAAATACTTCGGATTCGTTTGCCAGATGCCCCCGAACGCCCTGGTACGGCCGAGAGTGGGGGGAGTCCGCTCTCCCTCTCGAAATACTCTCACACGGCCGCGCGTATACAGCCTCTGCCAGGGAAGTCCTACTCATTGCCTTCTCGTGGCGGGGGTGTTGTTTACGAAAATGAGAGGACGAAAAGCGAACGTCCGGCGCTTTAACCGGATCACAAACCAATGGTGCACATGGGCTCCAGTATCCTGAGGGAACAAATGGCGTATGAACCAATCGTTGGTCACCGGCTACCATGGGATTGCATCTCCTTACGATGCTCCACTGCCTTGTGGGTTAGACCATTAGGTCAAAGGCTCGGGGTGTGGCCCCCTAAGATAACCACCTGCTTCGGTTTGGGCACCCAGGCAGTATCACAGCCCACACACAAACCATGAACTCTATGACTATGGCAACTAATTGTCTCGCTCCGATCAACATTCAATCGATTCAAATAATTATTACTATTACTGTCATTATTAATACCATTAATATTATTATTACCATTATTGTCATTATTATTATTATTATTATTATTATTTTCCACATTTTTCACCCTCTTTTATACTTATACAGCGGCTCTTCTTTGGTGGAAATTCGACTGTATCTAAACGTTCTCGAGTTACTGCCCGGTTGAAAATTGTATGTTACCACCGATTACGAGAACTGAAGCAGTTTTTCTGAAACCACGTGCACCATTCAAACTGGCTGCCTTCAACGTTCGCACACTAGTGCAGATCGGACAACAGATAGGGCTGGCTATGTCTTTGGAAAGTCTCAATACTGATGTTTGTTGTCTATCCGAGACCCGTATTCAAGACTCTGGCGAAGTACTACAAATTCGATCTCCATCTGTCGCTTCGAAAAGCTTGTTTTACGTGCGCTTATCTGGGGACCCTGAGGCATCATCGTTTGGTCTTGCTGGCGTTGGTGTCGCACTAAGCGCTAGAGCTGAGGCAGCACTAGTCGATTGGATCCCCATTAACAGTCGGTTATGTGCTGTTAGATTAGAAAGTTCCATCAAAGTGAGAAGAAATCGGCGTGAGAAACGATGTCTTTTCGTCATCTCCGCCTATGCCCCGACAGATTGCAGCCCGGATGCAATCAAGAATGAGTTTTACCACCAGTTATCTGTTCTTCTCCAGAAAGTGCGCTCGACAGATATTGTAGTACTAGCCGGAGACTTGAATGCTCAGGTCGGGCGTCTAGGCACAGAAGAGAGTCGTTTAGGTGGCCGATGGGGACTCGTTGGTCGCAGGTCAGATAACGGGGACCGTCTACTGCAACTATGCACAGACCACAACCTGTTTCTGGCTAGCACTAACTTTCGGCACAGTCATCGCCGATGTGCCACCTGGCGTCCTCCCTCTGCATCCCAAGCCTGGACTCAGATTGATCACATCGCGATCAGCTACCGCTGGTGTGGTTGTGTAAAAGACTGCCGCTCCTTTTGGAGTACCTATCTGGACTCTGACCATGCCTTGGTCTGCGCCAATCTTGCCTTACTTTTCAGTGGACAACGAAGTGACCACCACCAAAGGATTGATGTCAGCAAGTTGGTTGCAACTTCTGTTGCAAGTAAGTATCGAACCGAGCTAGCCTCTAGGCTAGCTACCACTCCACCGAAAAGTATAGATGAGCATTGGTTGCAATTGCTTGACGCCATGAAAATGGCGGGAACAGTCAGTTGTGGGTTTGCGAAACGTCCCGCTTTTAAGCACTGGGTTTCTTCTGGTTCCTTACAACTCATCAAAGCCCGTCGGTCCACTCCGGGTGACCGTGAGTTTGACCATAAACGAAGGATGTTACGTAAGGAAATTGGGCAAAGCTTGCGTAAGGACCGAGAAGCCTGGTGGTCGGAGCGTGCTAATGAGCTGGAAGCAGCAGCTGCATATGGTAACTACCGGAAGCTCTTCCAGCTCATCCGAGCCACTGGCAGCAAGAAGTCTGGTGTGAGTGAAACAATCTGCGAGGATGATGGGATGCCAATCACTAACATCCATCGACATCTTGGACGATGAGCAGAATTTTTCGAAGGGCAGTTCAACTGGCCTGCTGCTCCGGCAACATCGGTCAGACTGTCCTGCCCTCCATGGCCGGTGACGACTGATCCACCAAACGAGGAGGAAGTCCGCAAGGAACTCCAACTCTTGAAGCGTTACAAATCATCTGGCGCAGATGACTTACCTCCGGCTCTTTTTAAAGATGGTGGTGACTTTTTGACTAAGGAATTGACGACGTTGTTTACAAAGGTTTGGGAATTAGAGAGTGTACCAACGTCATGGAATGAGTCGATAGTTGTCCCTATCTTTAAAAAGGGTTCACGTCGTTCCTGCAACAACTGTCGGGGGATAAGTCTACTTCCGATTGCGTCCAAGCTATTGGCTTCCGTCATACTTCGTAGATTGTTCAAAACCCGAGAAAGATTGACTCGCGAGGAGCAGGCTGGGTTTCGTTCTGGTCGACGATGTATTGATCATATCTTCACCCTCCGCCAAATGTCAGAACATCGCCATACTTATCAAAGGCCAACAATCGTAGTGTTTCTTGACATCAGGGCTGCCTTCGATTCGTTGGACAGGACTGTTCTCTGGGATTGTCTATTGAAGAAGGGTGTGCCTGAGAAGTTTATTAACATCCTAAAAGCCCTATATAAAAACACCTCAGGCAGAGTGAGGGCATACAACCACCTCTCTCCATTGTTCCATTCGAGTAGTGGGGTTAGGCAGGGTTGCCCAATCTCACCATTCCTCTTCAACTTTGCCATCGATGACATTCTGGAAACAGCTCTGATGAATGTAAGTAATGGTGGTGTGGATCTGTTGCCTGGAGAAAGACTTCTCGACCTTGAGTATGCGGACGATATTGTCTTACTGTGCGATAATGCCCACGGCATGCAATCCGCACTTAATCAGTTGGCAATCAGTGTCCGTAGGTATGGTATGTGCTTTGCACCTTCGAAGTGCAAAGTACTTCTACAAGACTGGCAGGATTCCAATCCTGTACTCACCCTGGATGGTGAGCAGATAGACGTAGTCGAGAAGTTCGTGTATCTGGGTAGCTGCATAAGTGCTGGTGGTGGCGTGAGTGGTGAGATCAATGCACGTATCGTGAAAGCCAGAGCGGCTTATGCCAATCTGGGCCATCTTTGGCTCCTTCGTGATGTTAGTCTGGCTGTAAAAGGTCGGATCTACAACGCGTCGGTGGGAGCAGTTTTGCTCTATGCTTGTGAAACCTGGCCTCTCCGAGTTGAGGACGTTAGATGACTCTCTGTGTTCGATCATCGCTGTCTCCGAAGGATTGCTGACATTCAGTGGCAACACCATATCAGTAATGCAGAGGTTAGACATCGTGTGTTCGGGCACAGAGATGATAATTCAATTGGTGTCACCATCTTGTAACACCGACTTCGGTGGCTTGGACATGTTCTACGAATGCCGTCCCAGAGAATTCCACGTCGTGCATTATTTGCCGACTCTGGGACTGGTTGGAAAAAGCGGAGAGGTGGTCAGTGCATGACATGGTGTCGTGGTATGAAAGAAAGCTGCAAAGGACTGGCTTCTGTCGGTCCTTTACGACTCCCTGGTTGGGGTCTGAGAGACGGTGCTACACAGTGGCTAGAGACGTTATCAGATATGGCTCAGAATAGAAGCCAGTGGCGATCCTGCTGTAACCTTCTTTTACTTTCTTCATAAAAAGTGGTTGTGTCTCCTTTACTTGAAAGATTTCTTCTGATTGTACCTTTCTGTTCCAACGTTGCGACCACACTACCTTTTGTGGTCCTTAGTTTTTTTCTTTTTCTTTTCTATCTCTCTTCGAATTTTTCATTGTTTTGTGTGGCGCATATATATTGGCGCTCTCTTGTACCAATATTTATGTGTTCAAATAAATAACTGTGGGAGAGAACAAACCAGATCCCAACGGAGGAAGAAATCTGAAAGAAGCAGTGAAAGTGGATAGGACACACATTGAGGAAAGTTCTTAACTGTATCACAAAGCAAGCTCTCACTTGGAATTTTCAAGGCCAAAGGGAAAGAGGAAAACCAAAGAACACATTACGCCGAGAACTAGAGATAGACATGAAAAAAATTAGCTAGAAAGAATGTCTCAGGACAGATTGGGTTGGAGAATGCTGGTCGGCAGCCTATGCTTCATTGGGAGTAACAGGCGTGCTGAAGTCGGCGTTATGAAATAAAAACACGAAGCACAAACATATCAACTTATCAGCCAACAAAGCAAGATTCAAGAAGTAAAAACTTCAGATGATTACTTTTATATTTTTTTAGCCTACTACTCTTATGTCAGTCCGTAATTAACATCGAGATGAGTAGTGACTAACACGTATCTGAAATACTTAGAACGATAATGGTTTATCTCTTCAATAATCAATATAAAAGTTTTATTTCAAAACATCATTGCAGGAAGATGGTCATATAAATAAACCGACTATCGACAATACTTTAACATCACATTAGGTGTATTAAACATACGACAAACAAACGATCTATCACATTTCAAAATTTTTCGGTTTATAGTTTACATATAGATTGATAGTTAAAATGATTTGAATATGATTGACATAGTGAATGTTGAAATTAGGCATTTGTCTTACTTAACATATAGCCACACATATCAACACAAACAAACAGTTCTACTAATGTATTCATGGAGTGTGCCAGTACACGCATAACGGTATTCATTATTCATGAACAATATAGAATCTAATTGATGAACCATTATAAATACAAATTGTTATATCCGAACGAAGATCAAATCACGAGTAACTTCTGAGACATATTAATTGACTAATATTATCTATACATTCTTATAGTATAATTATTCAATAATTAGATTATGTATATTTATATTCCTTTTAATATAAACTGTACTTTGATCTATAATTTATTATTGTACGATTTACGGTTGTTAAGCTATGTTCAGTTTATTAACTACTGCCTCCCACGTTCACAACTACTTTTTGGCTTTATTGTGTACACATGGTATTTTCTATTTTATGGCGCGTTGCGGTCTGTTTGGTTGATATATAAACCCAGTATATCTGAAATAAATGATTAGATTTGCATAGCGGAAGCTGGTATTAGGGTTCTGGATTCAAATGGACAGGCTAAGCGGACATAGGACCGATAAGGACGCTAGGTTGCCCATACCGGTCGAACGTCATTGGTTTGGCACAGTACTACGATTGTATAAGTCGTGTTTTGATTGGTGGATAAATCACGTATAAAAAAGCCGGACATAAAGTTATAACACAAATAAGCATAATAATAATAACAATATGTAATGATAATAAAAGGACTGGGACAATTCCAAATAAAAAATCGTTGTAATCTGTATATAATTAAATTAAATAATTATTTAAAGTTGAAAATGTCATCTAATTTTGTATCCACTCTATTGGTTTATAAGAAGCACGTTTATTGAAATATATGTATATTTATTTAAACATATAAACATTGATACAAACGGGCACCAAAACATATATGCTCCATATGAATCAGTAAATTTGTGTGTATGCTGAGATACTGCTCGGGCAGCCAAACCTAAAACAGGTGGTTTTACTTAGGGGATCGCACCCCGAACCTTTTATTCGGAGGTCTAATACACAAGGCAATGAATCAGCGTTAAGAGATCCAGTCCTATGGCAGTCGGTGATCAGCGATAGGTTCATACGCTATTTGTCTCCTTAGGATTCTGGGATCCATGTGCACCATTGGTTTGGAAGTAGGGTTTTTCAACTCCCCTAGATGGATCCTCTATATCCATCAACTTGGTCAAAGCGCCGGGCATTCACTTGGCGTCCTCTCGAATTCGTAAACAACAACCCCGCCGCGAGAAGGCAGTGAATAGGACTTTCCTGAATGTGGTTGTACGTATGTGACCATGTGAGAGCATTTGGAGAGGAAGATATGACTCTCCCCACTCTCGGCCGTACCAGGGTATTCAAGGGCCACGCTATTGGTTTAACAATCAAAACAGTCAGTCAGCTACAACGTAGGACCAGGCACATATGTGCATATATATATATATATATATATATATATATATATATATATATATATATATATATATATATATATATATATTCAAACTTGACTGACTTACTTAGCGTAACGGCGATATTTCAGATAGACATTATCACGAAACAAATTACCGAAATCGTGATGAATAAATTGCTTAGATGTTGCCAGAATGGAAGACAACTCAGAGATAGACATTGATGAACGATTATAATTGAAAGATGACATTTCAGCACCACCAGCACATTCAGAATATAAATTATACTCATTTAATCCCTTCATAGAAGTTTCATATAGCTGACTAACCTAGAAAATACCAATAACACAATTTTAACAGTTGAATTCACGAGTCGATTTAAACAAGATCACCAATGAAAACCTGGAATCACAGTGACTCATGAATTCAACTCTGAAAATACTACAATCTTCACAAATCCTCATTCTGATTATAACATAGTTGTAAGAAACTAGAAAAAGGATTCGCAGCTTCCACCTTTATTATGGTACGATGTGTTACCAAAAGGAATTTAAGAATAGTAAATAGGTTCTCGTAAAAATTGATTGTCAGTGTACAACCAAAAACAAGAGTGGAATCATCAACATTATAACGTAGATCATAATATAACAGCTACATATACTACTGAAAAAGTAAATAGAGCGAATAGTACAGTATGAACTACATTATTAGCAAAAGGTTGTTAGAACTAAAATATGTGTGTCCTGGATTCGAAGTCGTTAGTTAGTAGACATATAATGGCCATTTAACAGTGTATAAGTATGCTTATGTTTTCCATAGTCTTATTTATTGGTCAAACAATCAACCTGCAAACAAATGCAATTGTCCGTGTTGACATATTTCTGTGTTTGGAGGGATATTTCTTAACCACCTAAACTGAATCAAAGAACTTTCCTATGGATCATATCTCAAAGTCTTTAACTTAAAGGTCTTATCTACAAGGCGGTGGGAGGACAACAGGAGGTGCCAACCCATGGTAGCCGGTGACCAAAACAAATCAATACGCTATCCATTTCTTTGGGATACTGGAGTGCAAGTAACACAACTGGTTTGAAGTTAGGGTTTTCCGCCTGTTATATGACGAACTGAATTATGAATGGCAGCTCTTGAGAACTATTTATGGACAAATACGTTACATAGATTTTTACGGTATAATTGTTAAGTAGCTAACCTATTCATATTCGTGTTCCTCTTATTATAAGCTTTATTGTGACCCATAAACTATTATTATTCGATTTACTATTCTTGAGTTATACCCAGTCTATTTATTAGTCTCCCACACTCACAGCCACTTTTGGCTAGATCTTGCGCAACTGCTTTCTATTTTATGATACGGTGTGGTCTGTTTGGTTTGTATATAAACCGAGTATGTTTGAAAGAAATGATTCATATTCAGAGGCTGAGATTGGTGTTCTGGACTTAACAGGAAGGGTTAGGCAGGAAGTTGGACTGGTAAAGGACTCTAGACTGCTCGTACGGGTTTTATGCGTCATTGGTTCAGTCGATAAATCATTATTCTCTAATAGGTGGTATCATTACGTCATATATTAATAGGGCACGAGGCCACCCCGAGTGGAGCTTACGTACCTCTCAACACGTTTCAAATCCCACACATTTACCCTTCGTCCTCTTTCGTCAGTAAAAAACGCTGCCGCAACGTGGACCCTGTCAGTAAGACTACATTAGTAGAGGTTCCCAACTCGTGTTTCTATGAGAGCATCTCGACAGGGATTGCAGACTTCCTCCACTTTTGGCTGCATCAAAACACATATATGCAAGATAAAAGGTCTTCTTCGTATGTGAAAAGATCGGATGTATCTATAGCTAACTTATGAAACACGACGATAGTAACATATAAAAATATTGCTTTAAATCAAAAGTATTTTTAAAGAAATGTGATCTCTTTCTACTTAGGCTATCAAATAAGGAAGCCAGGAAACATCTACGAAAATGGTGCAGTTAAATAGCCTGTGGCTTTATGAAGCTCTTTGACGGTCTCCTAACACAGTATTTACACACTTTTAGCTTAGCCATTCTGATACACGTCAGGGTGGAGACGATGAATGAGACATGTAATGTACACATGCCCAGTTCAGCTGAAACAAACTACACGTTCAATGTATAAGTAATGAGGACATATTTGCAAAACAACCATAAAAAATACGCCCATACTTAACGTCAGTGTACAAACCGAACATGAAATAAATTACAAAAACACTGAACAGACATAGACTGTCTATAAACAAACTCACAGTCCGTTGACATTCAGGTGATTGATTATCGGTGAACATACAAACGGTTGAGCATTTATCTTTGCAACATTTATTATTTAAATCATTCCATGAACTAAGGAGGAAAGGTGAAGGGGAAAAAGGGTAGAAGGATACAGTTATGGTTGTATGTAATCACGACTGCTTTGCACATAATTAAGCATCTTATTCTAATAATATATATAACACCTACAAGTGTGCCCATTGTATTCTCTCTATTTCTCACTTCAGTGTTGGTCCGTCCTTTCATAACTATTAAACTATAACATATTGAACAATCCAGGGGGGCGCTAGTTAGTATATCACATTCAAATCTACGACTTCGACACCCCCACGAAAAACAACTGCAAAAATTAAATTAAACGTATCTCTCAGCAACCGACTTGTGTGCAAGTAGAGTAGTAGTAATTTGTTCAATAAATACGCTAACTTATATCAGAAAAACATCATTTGACAAAAATTAGGGCATAGTAATTTTATCCTACCTCAAAAGTACTCCAACATTTATGGTAATGAGCTTCTTTCATTCCCGTTTTACAACTATCAAAAACATTACTAAAACTCCTTACAAGTAGAACTTCTAAATTGACTATCCCGTTGTTTTACGCTCTATCATTTGCCTAAATGTTTTATACCGATTTAGAAGTGATTATTTAATTTAATTTAATTGACAAATGTGTGTAGATCACTTTCCTTAGTCACAATATCTAGACAATATGTGACTCAACCGATAATTCCCATTTAAACATTAAAATTAAAACACGAAGTTCAGCGAAGGAATCTCTTTTCAACGAACTTATTATCAAGCTGTACAATCGTATATATATGAAAATTTTGTTTTTGTAAAAGTATTAATTCCGTGAGTAAAGGTAAATACGAATAACCAAGATGATGTAATAGAAAGATTATAATATTAGATTGCATAATACGAATAACAAGAATAATAGATTTAGTGAATATAATAAGATGATTAAAATGTTTTTATCAGAATGAGTTTTGTGGAGAATTTAGAAAATTTCACAGGTTGAAATCATGAGTCAATTGAAGCTAGACCACCATTGATTGAAGTTAGACATTAACACCATTGGATGCTGGCTCAGTGGTCTAATGGTTAAGTGCTCGTGCGCGAAGCCAGTAGGTCCTGGGTTCGAGCCCCGCGTGTTGCGGGATCGTGGATGCGCACTGCTGAGGAGTCCCATACTAGGACGAAACGGCCGTCCAGTGCTTCCAGGTTTTCCATGGTGGTCTAGCTTCAATTGACTCATGATTTCAACCTGTAAAATGTTTTTGTTAAAGGTCATAGAGGTGTAAAAAATAAATAAGGTGATATGATGAGCATTTACGAATGAGAATATAAGACATTTCATAGAAAAGAATATGAATAGAAGTAGCCGTCCCGAAGAAAAACCTTTATGTAAGTCTGGAATTTAAAGGTGATCGAACATCAAACGTAATCAAAAATCGTCTAACAACAACGATTAGAAAAACATTTAACGTGACTAAACTGAGAATAACCTTCACTAGTAGGAACTTATTTTCTGTATCCATAAAAGATAAGCTTCCGCGTCTGGTCGCCTCCATGTGCATCGACCAGTTCACCTGCTCTTGTGAAGCAAGGTACATTGGCCGTAGTCAGCGCTCGCTTTCAACTCGGATACGGAAACATATCTCAGCTCGGTTTTATGAGGTTGAAAGGAAAGTAGTTAGAAGTTCTATACTTGAACACCTAATCGACTATAACTATTCTACAGATCCACAAATTGATTTTAAGGTTGTTTATATGATTCGTTCAAATCTACCCAGATTTATTAGTATCCAACTCTTAAGAAAAAGAGGAAGCTCTTACTATCCGTTTGGTTTAAACTGCCTATCTGAGCATCAAAGTCACCACCTACGAGTACTATGTCTGAGCGTTTAGCTTTCTGAAGAAGTTCAGAAAGCTTTCTGTAAAATTCATCTTTCAATTCATCTGAGCTGCAGTCAGTGGGAGTGTAGGTAGAAACGACAAAAAGGCAACGACGTGTGTCCCTATCCTTCTGAGATCTTACGTAGCCGTTTAGCCGAACAGCACATAGACGACTGTTGACGGGGATCCACTCTAGCAGTGCTTGTTCCGCCCTCATGCTTAGTGCTATGCCTACACCTGCCAGTCCACGAGAACTGGCCATCGGGTCACCAGATACACGTGGGGTGTATCTCGTTGGCTCTCCGTTTTGCCGAGGTGAGGTCAAGTGAATGACCACACTGGAATCCTGTATGCGTGTTTCGGAGACACAGCATACATCAATGGAAAGAGACTCTAGGGTTTTAGCCAAGGAAGCCTGCTGACCGATTTGACATGGGGTTCGTACGTTGAAGGCTCCAATGTGTAGTTTGGAGCGAGGTTTCAGTAGACCTGGGACAGTGTTTTGAGCACTAGAATCGTTGACTATGGTGACACCCGAGGAGGAAGCCGAGAGAGGAAATTTAGAGTTGAAAGTCGATGTAGGAGAAATAATAGGAATTGAAGAGGGAGGTTGATTATGAATACAGTGGTCTTGAGTACTGTTAGAGGTATGAGGGCGGTTATCACTTCCCGGTTGCCCACACCGTGGAAGGGTTCTTCTGGAGGTACCTGAAAAGGAAATTGGATTAAAGGTGGTCTTAGTGACCTGAGAACGTGACCGCAGTGCCCAAGGGACAACTGCTTGAGGTTGGTCACACACGACCTTTTTATGGGTAATTGTTGTGTTAGCTCCGTACTTATTGAGACCTTACCACTGGAGACGGATATCCGTGGGATAAGGTGAGGTGTGCATTTTTAGGATCGACCTTTTCTAACCCCACCCCTCCTTGTGGGAAGGCAGCATCGCTGTCATGCTGGTTGTCTGAAGGAAACACCTTACTGTACAGTCAGCAGTACGACTTCGCCTTCGGACCTTGGGTTTGTTGCTTTTAGTCTTACCGCTCTTCAACCGACCTGTCTGACATGGTAGGACCTTGAGGAACGGTTGTTCCAGCCAGTATAGCTCGGTTGATTTATCACGATAGGCAAGCCCGACCACCATGTCAAGGTAGCAACAACGGTCGGGTACTTATGTATTATTAAACATTTGAAAAAAAAATAAGTCAGTTGAACAGTTTGAATTCTTGAGGCTTTCAATGTGTATTTTCTTTTTTTTAATAGATGACGATTCAAGTTACGAAGCTATGCACTGATTGGATTAACTTTTTGCATCAAGAACGATATGAAAAACAAAGCTAAATAAAAATCGTAACGATTCATTTCCATATGTAAGACTAATCATAAGAACAAATACAATTCACAAGAGATTGGATTTTCATTATTATTTAAGCAAATACTAATTACGGAAGTGTTTGATAAGTCCAACTGATATCTACGTTTACACATTCATACATACACGCACTGATTACTTACTTTTCACCAATCAAACCATGATAATTAATAAAATACAATAGAGAATTATCATTGAATCTGTAATTAATCAATCCATTCCCAACAGCAATGCCCTACAAATGAAAAAGAAGGATGGAATAGTTCAAGATGTACATCAACTAACTGTTGGACTGAAATTAGAACAGAATTTACATGAATATAAAAATGATGATATTTAACTCTTAATGAAACTAACCAAAGTGAAATATTGTAGAATACCTTGTGACCAGCATAGTTATTCTCGGTTAATTAATTGTTATCTAATATGTTACATGAAGGTAGACTAAACCAAAACATAATACCAGTTCATGAAATTAGTGACTGTTGGTTTGAGCCTTTTTATTGAGTACAGACTAATCAATCGAGGTCCATGAAATAATCGTGATCAGTGGTTAGAGACGTTAAGTGCCATAGTGAGGGATACGTATTCATCCTCTATCGAACTCTTCTTCAAATTCCAGTATTCCTTTATAAATACAGTTCCATCCCGTCTTCTGAAACCACGTTCTAAATACTTAGTACTGTTCACTATCATTACTGTTTCGATCACTTCAACTACGTTGCTATTTGAGTTGTTAATTCCATCTCGTCGTATCGATGTGGGGTACCAACCTGGCGTAATGCACAGAATTTGTGACAGGCTCTATATGGTAATTATGAATAACTGGTTATACTATTTCCCAACACATAGATTTAATTATCTACTCGATGGCTTTGTATACTGAAATTTGGTGACAATTACGATTCGAGAATAGGCTTAATGAAAAAGACATAATTAGTCAGATCACACAGATGAATTCCATAGGGCAGGTGACTATTTAAGTAATAGTCATCGGATAGAGAACAGTTTGTCAACACCAATTTAAGTGAATAGTAGTTTTGTACATTTGATTAGTCCTGATGTAGTTTTTCTTCAGTTTAATAAAAAAATTATTACTGAAAATTGTAGAAACAGTTCAAACTAGATCTTTATTCTGATTCTTCAGACTTTTCAGACAATTTGACACTTAACAGCTACTTGAAATTAAGAAATCAACTTAGTAAGTGTTGCATTTTTATTTTGGGACTCATTCACTATCAATATGTGTTTTGTAACTACCTAAGGAATTAATATTTGCTATTCAGTGGTAACCATTGTTCACATGTAATCAAGCTGTTCGAAATTGTTAGTACATCTAAACAACATTTCAAATTTTAAAAAAAATATATTTTTGTCATATACATATGGATTAGTATTTCACCTTATAATTATAATTATCATGAACAAGATATGATCTTGAATGAGAACGAAAAACGATAAAACAATAGATAACAGCCCCAAGAATTCAAAAACTATCAAGACTCCAGAGTTTTCTAGGATAGACGAACTTTTTCACCTTCTACTACTGTACAGGAAGTTATGCATATTCCTTATTGGAACTATCATGATTTGTGTGAAGGTTGTGATATTGTTTAGCCGCTTTAACATAAGTACACTATTATCTTAGGAGGCCACTGTCGAGTTATTAACCTCAATCTAATGCACAAAACAATGGAGTAATTCCCATAGTAGTCAATGATCAAAGTGGGTTTATATAGGAATACTTCTTTCAGGATAATGAAACTCATATATACAACTAGTTTGAAATTGAGTTTACCAACTTTTCTAGACAAATTATCTGTCAGCCGACGTCTAGCTTTGCTGAAATTGACTCATGTGTTCTCGTTGTCACATGAACATTTTGTTGGGACAATTAGACAGTGTGATCACAGGAAATCAGGGAGTATTCCTGGTCTTAATTATAAACTCATCAAACAAATAATATCACGAACATTCTCAATAGGCATGGCTAATTTTCACCAGGACTCAACATCAACTATATCAGGTAATTAATACTGAAAACATGATTATTAACTGGATAAACGTAAAAGAAAACCAACAAAGGAAAATGGTCATGTAGTTTAGTGGATTGATTGACTTGTACACGGTTGGATCCCGGCTCAGTGGTCTACAGGTTAAACGTCTGCTTATCAGACCAAAGATCTTGGGTTCTACTCCCAGTTTTTTAGTCGTGTGTGCACCACGGAGGAGTCCCATACTAAGCCGTCCAGTACTTTCAGGTTTTCAATGGTTGCCTAACTTATATCGGTTCATGGTATCAATAAAAACTGTTTGCTGGTTTTCTGGAGAATAATGATAACTACGTTCCTTTTTTTAGAAAAAAGTTTAACTATACCTTGAAGTCGAATCTTGATGAATTTAAAAGAAGTACACTTAATGTTGGCACATAAACACCGGCGTAACTTTCACCAGTAACAAATAGACGACGTCCTTCATATTCGGGGAACTTTTTCAGGAAATGAAGCAATGCATGATAATTGTCTAAAGCAGTCTATTTTTAACATGAAAATTGAACGAAAGAAAATTTGATTATAATAACGCGAAAATTATATGCATGAATGTAAAAACCAAAAACTTTCAAGCACGAGTTGATAGACGACAAACGACACTTATTATTTTAGATAGTTGAAGGTCACATTCTACTTCGGTTATGACTGACTACGTGATTACAGGTGAACAGTACGAAGCTTTGTTTGATCTTTATTAAGTGCTATTTGGTAAAAAGTAGCAAAATCAACGGATTCTCTCCATGAGATTGGGAAACGCATGATTATTTGGAGCTAAAATATCCGAAATCTCCTAATAACATCAGTACACTGAATGCATTTAAAGGCTTCTAATATCGATGTAAAAGACGATTCATGAATCAGTGGTGACTTGACAACTTTTATCCCATCGTACCACCACACACATACACACCTGATGCTAATAGTAATTGTGATAAGGTGACTTAAAAGTCATGTACTAACCAGCGGAATAAGAGACAGCTTCTTGTGTGAAGCTTAGCAATACTAATAATTTACCTAAACTCCTCTGTATATGAGTAAAACCAGAACAACAAATGAGACAGAATTATATGAATTCACTATATTTCGTGGTTTATCATCGGCTAATTACAACCATATATGTATTGGAAGGTAAAATTGAGGTATGATATAATGTGAAACAATCGATATTGATGACGAAGAGAATCGGAATGACAAAGATTATCAATAACAACTTCATATGTATGTGTGCAAGAACAGGTTAAAGGTCATTTGGAGATTAAGGTCCGGAGACAGATACGATTGATTGTGTGATAAACTTAGAGGTTGTGAAGGCTTCACATAAGATTACAGGAATTAGAAATCGATAAGATGAGTTACGTAATGATTGAACAGGATTTGAAGAGTTTACATAAGTTAAGAGAATTAAGTGAATGAGGACATTAATGGAGGGATAGTTTTGGTGTACCTGAAATAAGAATTAGTTGAAGGAAGACCACATAACAAAATAAACACTAATAAAATAGTGATAATGACAGAAGTAATTTGCCAAGGTCGTGATAGGTTTTTTATTGTCTCTTTCTGAATACATAAATCAGGTTTGAGTTCATTTATTGCTATTACTTTAGCAAACCGAAGAGACGCCGCGTTGTTTTATCTGTTAATACTTTTGAAGGCTTGTAGAATGTCAATAGTATACCCGGTGTCAAGTAAATACTGAGTTCTTCCATTCTTTAGAGCCAATGTGCCCCTCAATCTCAAGTTCTTTGGAACGTGGTCGGAAATGTGAACATGTACTCTCCTCTCTATTCTTTCAATGTATGTGCTTTGGTACGCTCGTGTAAATTGGTGAATGCGTTGAAGGTTGCCAACCCATCAGCAAAACTGATGTTACGTCAAACAACCAAAAATTGACAGGTCCTCTTTTCTCAGTACCTTCAACTGTACATTATATATAGTTATTATTGATATTCTTTGTCATTCCAATTCTCTTTGTCATCAATATCGATCGTTTCACATTATACCATACCTCAATGTTACTTCCTAATACATATATGGTTGTAAGTAGCTTATGAGAAACCACAAAATATAGACAATTCATATTATTATCTCAATTGTTGTTCTGGCTTTATTCAAATTCATAAAGAGAACCGATTGTATGAAACTTCTGTATACTTAAAGTAGAATACAAAACTGCTTTTTAAATACCTCATAAATCGATAACCGTTATTTATTATCAATTTGGATAGCTGAATATCATGGTCACTGATTGTATTAAATAATAAATTGATTTAGTCTATTATCTTGAACAAGTTGTAATTGGTAAACAGTTGAAAAGCTACTGACAAATCAGTATGGAAGTAGAGCTTGCCAAAAGAGAAATAAACAATACACACATGCAGTGTTTAGTAGGAATTTCGAACTTAATCCGAGTATGAAGAAATATTTGCGTTTAGTTGGCTAAAACACATGAGATAAATGACATCAACATGTAAATCCTAAGAAAACAATTAGTTCAAATGAACCAATGGATGGTTGGATGGATAAACTCATGGCGCCATTTTTGCATCTTAAAAAGTTGACAGTGAAAAGTACAATAATGAAAGCAATACTTTGAAGCCATCTGTTACAAAAACATAGTGCTTACTCGATCATCATCCCATGATTGAGATGGAGCAGTAGAATAAGAGAATCCCACACCAGCTGGGGCCTCTAGGTACAAAACATTAGCAACCTAAAGAAGAACAAACTAAAGTTTTAGTCTACGTGGGAAAATTCATGAAGTTCGTTTTTACTCAACATAATATACATTTACAAACAGTAATAATATGTCCACTATGTGTTGTGATAATCTTAAAGGATGCATAAGACAACCAAATGGGAAAACGGTGTACAAATGCGGAATACGATGAATATACTTAGGTGATAATCCCAATCTTTAAAATACATAGTGAAGCTGTGACGTGTAACACAATTCTATGGGTTCCTATTACTGAAAGTATGAAAAAATTAGTAGTTATTGCCCCAATTATTTGAACAACACTAATCTAGCCATCATGCATACAACGTGCATACTGATGTGCACGAATATTGGTCAATATCAGGGTGAATAGTTGGACAAAATTTGGGTGCCGAATATAAAAAAGTATATATGGAAATTATATTTGAAATAATCTCAGAGATTGAAATTTAAATGATCCCAACATTTCGTTCAGCAAACTAGTCTGAACTTCTTCCGGGTAGGATAATCGAAATCAAGATCACCAAAGAAATATACATGGTTTAACAATCAAAACAAGTCTATACTGCACGAATTTAATCATATTTAGGTGCTAACTTTAGAAAATAGGATAACATGAATCAGTTATATGCGAAGCATGTGAAAATAAATGACTGCATGCATTGTATGTATGTATGTCTGTATATCAATCAGTCAGTCAGCTACAACGTAGGACCAGGCAAATATATGCATCGGTCCAAGTTGCCATACCTCATTAGCACAGCAAAATGAACACCGAATTCATAGGAGTAGATAATTCAATTGTCGTAAAATATAAAAGAAAGATCGCAATAAGGATATGGTACAGGAAGAAAGAATTAGTTCGTAAAAAGAAAGATATGAAATGATCTTAATCTCGCAGTTAAAAGACAGAGAGTGTATACACCTACGCCATTGTGATCGATCCTGAGCCATATCGCCCTGAGTCTCTAACCATTGGTTACGATAGTCACGCGGACCCCAACCAAGTAGTCTGCATCTACCAACTTCGTTAAGACCAGAAGTTAGTAACTTTGTGGACCGATGCCACATTTTGGTTTGGCCGCTCCTAACTTTCTTCCAACAATCCCCAACACTAGTCAACATTGCGCGTCATGGTAATCGGTGTTCAGGCATATGTAACACGTGGCCCAACCATTTCAGTCGATGAAGATTCACGACCTCATCAACTGATTTACCATCATTTTCTAATACCCTACGTCTATTTATTTATTTATTTGAACACATAAATATTGGTACAAGAGAGCGCCAATATATATGCGCCACACAAAACAATGAAAATCCGAAGATAGAAAATAAACTAAGGAGCACAAAAGAAAAAGAGAACGATAACGAAGAGATTGATGTATGGTAGTGTGGTAGTAACGAGGGAACGGAAAGGTACAATTAGAAGAAATCTTTCAAGTAAGGGAGACACAACCACTTTTTATGAAGAAAGTAAAAGAAGGTTACAGCAGGATCGCCACTGGCTTCTATTCTGAGCCATATCTGATAACGTCTCTAGCCACTGTGTAGCACCATCTCTCGGACCCCAACCAGGGAGTCGTGAAGGACCGACAAAAGCCAGTCCTTTGCAGCTTTCTTTCATACCACGACACCATGTCATATACTGACCACCTCTCCGCTTTTTCCAACCAGTCCCAGAGTCGGCAAATAATGCACACAGTGGAATTCTTTGGGACGACATTCGTAGAACATGTCCAAGCCACCGAAGTCGGTGTTTCAAGATGGTGACACCAATTGAGTTATCATCTCTGTGCCCGAACACACGATGTCGAACCTCTGCATTACTAACATGGTGTTGCCACTGAATGTCAGCGATCCTTCGGAGACAGCGATGATCGAACACAGAGAGTCATCTAACGTCCTCAACTCGGAGAGGCCAGGTTTCACAAGCATAGAGCAAAACTGCTCTCAACCGACGCGTTGTAGATCCGACCTTTTACAGCCAGACTAACATCACGAAGGTGCCAAAGATGGCCCAGATTGGCATAAGCCGCTCTGGCTTTCACTATTCGTGCATTGATCTCATCAATCACACCCCCACTAGCACTTATCCAGCTACCCAGATACACGAACTTCTCGACTACGTCTATCTGCTCACCATCCAGGGTGAGTACAGGATTAGAATCCTGCCAGTCTTGTAGAAGTACTTTGCACTTCGAAGGTGCAAAGCACATACCATACCTACGGACACTGATCGCCAACTGATTAAGTGCGGATTGCATGCCTTGGGCATTATCGCACAGTAAGACAATATCATCCGCATACTCAAGGTCTAGAAGTCTTTCTCCAGGCAACAGATCCACACCACCATTACTTACATTCATCGGAGCTGTTTCCAGAATGTCGTCGATGGCAAAGTTGAAGAGGAATGGTGAGATTGGGCAACCCTGCCTAACCCCACTGCTCGAATGGAACAATGGAGAGAGGTGGTTGTATGCCCTCACTCTGCCTGAGGTGTTTTTATATAGGGCTTTTAGGATGTTAATAAACTTCTCAGGCACACCCTTCTTCAATAGACAATCCCAGAGAACAGTCCTGTCCAACGAATCGAAGGCAGCCCTGATGTCAAGAAACACTACGATTGTTGGCCGTTGATAAGTATGGCGATGTTCTAACACTTGGCGGAGGGTGAAGATATGATCAATACAACCTCGACCAGAACGAAACCCAGCCTGCTCCTCGCGAGTCAATCTTTCTCGGGTTTTGAACAACCTACGAAGTATGACGGAAGCCAATAGCTTGGACGCAATCGGAAGTAGACTTATCCCCCGATAGTTGTTGCAGGAACGACGTGAACCCTTTTTAAAGATAGGGACAACTATCGACTCATACCATGACGTTACGTTGGTACACTCTCTAATTCTCAAACCTTTGTAAACAACGTGGTCAATTCCTTAGTCAAAAAGTCACCACCATCTTTAAAAAGAGCCAGAGGTAAGTCATCTGGGCCAGGTGATTTGTAACGCTTCAAGAGTTGGAGTTCCTTGCGGACTTCCTCCTCGTTTGGTGGATCAGTCGTCACCGGCCATGGAGGGCAGGACAGTCTGACCGATGTTGCCGGAGCAGCAGGCCAGTTGAACTGCCCTTCGAAAAATTCTGCTCATCGTCCAAGATGTCGATGGATGTTAGTGATTGGCATCCCATCATCCTCGCAGATTGTTTCACTCACACCAGACTTCTTGCTGCCAGTGGCTCGGGTGAGCTGGAAGAGCTTCCGGTAATTACCAGATGCAGCTGCTGCTTCCAACTCATTAACACGCTTCGACCACCAGGCTTCTCGGTCCTTACGCAAGCTTTGCCCAATTTCCTTACGTAACATCCTTCGTTTATGGTCAAACTCACAGTCACCCGGAGTAGACCGGTGGGCTTCAATAAGTTTTAAGGAACCAGAAGAAACCCAGTGCTTATAAGCGGGACGTTTCGCAAACCCACAACTGACTGTTCCCGCCATTTTCATGGCGTCATGCAATTGCAACCAATGCTCATCTATACCTTTCGGTGGAGTGGTAGCTAGCCTAGAGGCTAGCTCGGTTCGATACTTATTTGCAACAGAAGTTGCAACCAGCTTGCTAATATCAATCCTTTAATGGCGGTCACTTCGTTGTCCACTGAAAAGTAAGGCAAGATTGGCGCAGACCAAGGCATGGTCAGAGTCCAGATAGATACTCCAAAAGGAGCGGCAGTCTTTTACACAACCACGCCAGCGGTAGCTGATCGCGATGTGATTAATCTGAGTCCAGGCTTGGGATGCAGAGGGAGTACGCCAGGTGGCACATCAGCGATGACTGTGTCGAAAGTTAGTGCTAGCCAGAAACAGGTTGTGGTCTGTGCAAAGTTGCAGTAGACGGTCCCCATTATCTGACCTGCGACCAACGAGTCCCCATCGGCCACCTAAACGACTCTCTTCTATGCCGACTGTTAATGGGGATCCGATCGACTAGTGCTGCCCCAGCTCTAGCGCTTAGTGCGACACCAACGCCAGCAAGACCAGACGAAGATGGCACAGGGTCCCCGGATAAGCGCACGTAAAACAAGCTTTTCGAAGCGACAGATGGAGATCGAATTTGTATTACTTCGCCAGAGTCTTGAATACGGGTCTCGGATAGACAACAAACATTAATATTAAGACTTTCCAAAGACATAGCCAGCCCTATCTGTTGTCCGACCTGCACTAGTGTGCGAACGTTGAAGGCAGCCAGTTTGAATGGTGCACGTGGTTTCAGAAAAACTGCTTCAGTTCTCGTATTCGGTGGTGACATATAATTTTCAACCGGACAGTGACTCAAGAACGTTTAGATACAGTCGAATTTCCACCAAAGACGAGCCGCTGTATAAGTATAAAAGAGGGTGAATAATGTGGAAAATAATAATAATAATAATAATAATAATAATAATAATAATAATGGTAATAATAATAATAGTATTAATAATGACAATAATTGTAATGATAATAATTTGAATCAATTTGTTTTTCGAAGCGAGAAAGGTAATTTCCATAGACATAAAGAGTTCATCATTTGTGTGTGTGGGCTGTGATACTGCCCGGGTGCCCAAATCGAAGCAGGTGGTTATCTTAGGGGTCCACACCCCGAGCCTTTGACCTAATGATCTAACCCACAAGGCAGTGGAGCATCGTAAGGAGATGCAATCCCATGGTAGCCGGTGACCAACGATTGGTTCATACGCCATTTGTTCCCGCAGGATACTGGAGCCCATGTGCACCATTGGTTTGTGATCCGGTTAAAGCACCGGACGTTCGCTTTTCGTCCTCTCATTTTCGTAAGCAACACCCCCGCCACGAGAAGGCAATGAGTAGGACTTCCCTGGCAGAGGCTGTATACGCGCGGCCGTGTGAGAGTATTTTGAGAGGGACAGCGGACTCTCCCCACTCTCGGCCGTACCAGGGCGTTCGGGGGCACCCTACGTCTAACCTCACTATTATTTACCCCGTGATTCCAGCAGATGCGAGCAATATTTTTAAGACATCTGTGGTCAAATACTAGTAGCTTACGAGTATCTTCTACCCTTAATGGCCATGTTTCGCTACTGTAAATTATTTAATTCGTGATATTCTGAAGATAGCTGCATCTTATAGTTGCAAAGGAGCAAAGAGAAAGCTGATAAAAACGTTGATGGTTGTTATCATGAGTAAACCAACTGAATTGATCAACAAAAGTGATTAGGATCATTTCAGAGAAATTTATAAAAGCTCTAGGGTATATTTTGAATATTAAACTAATGAATAAAAATACAATTGACCTACTTTATTCCAGGAGTATGGATTTTCCACGAGACGAGGTCCTTCCTGGAGCTGGAAAGACGAGTGCATAAAAGGAAGGGATAAAACGAGATACTGATGAAAGAAAGACGGAGAAATCTATTTGGAATGGTAACATAGGTGAAATATTCATTCGATGTGACAACAAACGATGTCTAAGAAATGGAAAAATGAAAATCAAATCATCATCGATCATGATTGGAAGCTGACTAATTCTTCTAAGAACCATCTTATCCTTGCAACAATAGGCGTACAATATACACTGACGGCTAATCACGATAAAAATGACGGTCTCGAAATTTGCTGTCAACATATTATTTTGCCATCTATGCGAACTTAGGATTCAAAAGAATCTATATACAATGGACTCGAGTTAACTTTAAGATCAGAAATTAATGACGAAGCTTTCATTGGAACTACATTTAACGAGACTGCAGATCGTACATGTTGGAGTCAGAAGTTTGAAAACTTCTTAAAGGCTTTAATGACCTAGAGCTTTAGGTAACAATCCAGACAGAGACCTGATCAACCATTTTTAGACTACAAAACTACCTTACAGAAAGTGATCACAGCAGTACTTTCGTACGTTTATTTTCGGAGTTATTCATTATGAATGTACTTTGATAGATCATCCGAGATTCTACATAAAATTCATAGAAATGCAGAATGAATCTTAATTTTCAGACTGAATATGAATCAGAAAAGTTAGTGTGAAATATGCACAAATTAAAGTGTTTTGTTGACGAAGTAGTGAATCATGGATTTCTAGACATATTTTACCATTCAAAAACTGAGCAAAATCAGATTTGGCATGCATTCAAGATATTCAGTGGCTAAGCAAACGAAACAGTCATATTGAAGAGGTTCACTTTCGAAGTAAACACGCAACTAACATTTATCGTATACTAGACTCTCGAAAGTCATTATTTTACTTAAGAAGTAATAACATGTAAGAATCCCAGATTCATTCCATTTGCACATGATGTGGTCACAACAAGTAAGTCAGGGATCATGGAACACATCGAAGCAGAAGGATTGATCAAGTTTAGGCCTTATAGGCATTTATTAAATCATTCCACGAATCCTCTTCCTTCAAATAACAGGAATATATGAGTGGTCATTGGTAAACCATGAGTGCATTTGGATGTATATGACATATGTGATTGACGAAGGCTTCTCCAACCAACCTAGACATATGACATTGTTATTCTATTGTTATACAGACTTTTGTGAAGTTTAGTTTAGCTAACGCAAGTCGCGGAACCCCATTATTGATGTGGATATAGGACCTAGATATTTTCGAAGGGAAAAGATAGACTTTCACAATGGCACCGCACATTCGTTAATTCAACGGTTTAACACGCAAAGTGCATACTTTTAACCAGTTATTTAACATCTGACTTGTTCCGCAAAAAAAGTTAATTGCTACACACATTATCAACACTGACGGAGTGATGACTGTTTATGGTAAGTGGCTAGTGAATGTATTGCTAAGGAGGTGACTGAAAAAGATATAATTGATAACAAGTGTAGATAACAACTGGTGTCTGGTCAAGTGAAAAGTAATAAGATACCAAAGTAAGTAACTGTTTCACATTGGAATTTCCCAGTAAATGCCATAGTTAGGGCAAATACATGTCCTCAAACATTTGCGCCCTAGTTGACTGTAAAAATACCAATGCTCACTCTGAAGAATTTTTCCCACACACAATACAAAAAAACAAAACATGAAGTGTTTATCAACAAATTAATGTATAGGGATACTAAACGTTCATATTTTGATTACCGTTACAACTTGAAAATGGGAGAGAAAAACAATAAAGAACGTTATATTGCAGTTGAGCACCATGATATTAATTTTATGGGACGATACTTTTTCTCAATAACCGAATAAGCATTTCATTTTTTACAGTTTATATACCAAGTCTTTGCGACGAGCCCTACAACAATATTAGCAACTGAAACACATCTATAGTAAAACTAATAGGTTGTACTGTAGCTGCAGTTTTTATTCATTTACGTGTCGTAGTGAGGCAAATGGTTAAGCAAACATAATGAGCGTGATTATTGGCTAACCAAGAGATCTTGAAAAATGACCTTATTTCTGAACTAAAGGAAATCGAGGTTGTAATTGTCAGAGGTTCTGAGAATTTGAATCCGGATTTCATCTCATTAACGAAAGAAATTAAAAATTTTGAAACTCCATTGAGTGATAGATTTCGAGATAAATTTTTGAGTTGGAATTATTTACAATAACATCGCAAACGAAGAAATGAGGGACGATAACACTGAAAAATGTTTGCCAAATATAGCATCTCACATTTAGTTAGCTGTATTAACATTAAAATTTGCTAGTTATAGCTCAACACCAGTAGATATACAAAAGTTTGTGGACTATTACACACGCTTTTTTTGTTACTCCAGGGATATAATAAAAAAACGAGATTTTAGAACGAAACATAACGTGAATACATTACAATGTGAGAATTTAGTTGTCAAAGTTCTTACCGTTATGCACATATCGATTTCAAGAATTAAAAATTCAACATTTGTAGCAGCATCCCTTCACGAATTTGTTGCTGATGGCAATGCCACTGTTTTCGGTTGCATTGAAAAAATATATATAATCATACTACTCATATTACGAACGTTTCATCTACTTTTATGTTATATTTAGCCAAAACAAATGGCAGTAATAACTGTTACTGTGAATTCGACCTTAGAAAAAACATATTCAAGCGTAGTTGGGCGTTTTTCTTAAGTTTCAATACTGGTTTGATTGATTTTAGGAATTAGTGATTATTGGACTACTGGCTTATATATATATATATATATATATATATATATATATATATATATATAGGTCCATCGGAAACCGCCGTGATTACCTAGATTGGTTAGCCTTTTATTCTTACAAATGATGCTCCAATTAAGTAATACATCGCGCACGAATTACAAAGAAAACAGGATGACATTTGTACAATTATGCACTAACAACTAGTTTAAACTTCCCAAACAAATTGTCTAAGGTTTACACTACCGTTGTATTTTGAGGCGAAGTATGTGGAAAATTCTAGATATTTGTCTATTTAGGTCACACATGAATGTCGGGGTTAAATAATGTTGCGAGGATTAAGATACACATAGGCTTAGCTCAGTGATCATACCAACACCATAGCAATCAGTCTACAACTATTTCACCAACTATGGGTTGGTGGTGTCAGCTATGTACTTGCTATGAAAATATTCGTTTACAGTAAGAAAATTTTTTTACTGTACGATATCGCAGATTCCTTAATTTAGATTAATGAATGGATAGATAAATTTCTCCCTCCTTGATGAAGGAGCCATAAGTCTATAAATATACAAAGCTGTCAAACTTTTAAACAGGTTTTTATGATTTTCAAATTAATCACACTAAACGTTATCCGAACTATAGAACTTAAACACAAAAAACTCACGAGGTAAGGACCATTTTCAGTAAGTAAACCTTCTAACGAAGAGCACCCTGGTCCACCGTTTAACCATACAATTAACGGAGCTGACGCCGGTGACGAAGCAGCTTCGACAAGCCAGTAATGAATATTGACCTTATCGGATGACCCATGGAGATATCCAGAGAACTGCTTGAAATTCGGTTGTGGCCAAGCGCCTGGTAAATAAAGAATTTCATCCAAATCTCCTGGTCTATTTCTACTACTCGAAGATAGCGAAAAACTACTCAAAACTATGAGTGTTAAGATGACCACAGACATCATTGGGCGACAACTACAAACACAGCGCACTTTACGTTGGTATGCGGAACCTAGTCATACAAATTTTCAGTTTTTGGATTTTCAACATCCAATCTTTCTATTTTTCAAAAATAGAAACTATTTCTTTACATTTGCTCTACAGTTGTCACTCATGATTCTGTAATATGAAGAGATAAACATCTAGTAGTTTCTAGACTTCTGTTGGTGTCAATCAATGACTTTCTGTAGGTCAAGAATTTAGTAAATAATATTCAATTCCAGTTTCAACTAGGAAAGGACAGGAGGCCAAATGGCTCTCGTTAGTCCTGACAATGGTGGTTTCACAGTCCAAAGTTCTTTTGAAAGCGTCACTTTATGAAAGAGAATTTTAGTGCTAACGTAAATTTGTATTTATCAAATTTTTGCTGTGTTCCTACGCAACGAAGGCTCCATTATTAATCCAAATAATCTATCTTGAGCTTGATGTCCGATGGATTACTTTTCTTTTTTAGATAAACACAAGTTAATAGTTGACCGTGGTTTCACCTCAGCTTACCATCCCGGGTTTTTTTAGATATCTACGTTATGGTTGCTTTAAGTATATCCTAACCTTTCGTAAAACCCGTTTTTATTCATTTTATCTGTTTCTGGCATGCTTTCTTTGCTTTAAGGGTCGTAGATGTTTGCCAGGACTTATTAAACAATTTACATCACTGTAGTCATGAAGAATTCATGTACGCCACCTGACTGTCGTTTTGCTGTTACTTCTGGCTTCAGTGTGACAAATGCAGAGGTCGGTTCCGCTAAGCATGCATGCATCTTATAGCGACTGCCTACAACAAACACAGTAAGTCGGGTCACAGGTGGGCATGTAGCAAGTGCAAATGAATGCTGAGGTTTTGTTGAGCAACTTCATTCTCTTGACAGGCCTACGGAAAATGTCAGCAAAACTGAAAAAGGTGCGCACTGAAGATAAGAAAAGAGACCTCTACAAAGCTAGTATAGATGGGGCATGCAATTACACAAGTAAGGACATGCTAAATTTCAGTGCCATCATAACACTGACATTACTGGACTCCCTCAGCAAATTTAAGTCTCCCAGTACAGGGTCGCCGATTGCAACGGTGGTCCCCCAAAGATATGTGGGTGATTGAACCCCCGTCAACAAAGTTGAGAAAGACCAGATGTCACTGTATAAGAAGCAGAACGTCCCAGGTTCTGTAGTGAAATCGACTGGTGATTTGGCCCTACAGTCTACTCCCTAAGACTGTCCAACCGGTCAGCAAAGAGCATAGGAATCGGAAACGCTATTCGATCACCGAGCAACAAGATCATAAACCTGAACGTGCCCGAAACTTTAGAAAACAATCCCGGTCAGCGATGATTCTCTCATAATCATAAGCCTTGAAGACAGTTCTAATCTTTCCCTCAACCAGCAGGACAAAAATGATAGGACGCTCTTACTTACTTACTTACTTACTTACTTACTTACTTACTTACTTACTTACTTACTTACTTACTTACTTACTTACTTACTTACTTACTTACTTACTTACGACTGTTACTCCTCGTAAAGGAGCATATGCCGCTCACCATCATTCTCCATCCAACCCTGTCCCGGGCAATCCCTTCCGATTCTTATTCATCCTTTTCAAATCTGCTTCTATTATCCGACGTAATGTGTTCTTGGCATTCCTCTTCTCCGCTTCCCTTCAGGATCCCAAGTTAGGGCTTGCCTCGTGATGCAGTTTGACGATTTGCGTAATGTATGTCCTATCCATTTCCATCGTCTTTTCCTCATTTCTTCATCAGCTGGAAACTGATTTGTTCTCTCCCACAGAAGGCTATTGCTGATGGTATCCGGTCAATGGATGTTGAGTATCTTGCGTAGACAGCTATTTATAAATACTTGTACCTTCTTGATGGTGGTTGTTGTAGTTCTCCAAGTTTCAGCTCCATACAGTAGAACTGCCTTGACGTTGGTATTGAAGATTCTCACTTTGATATTGGTTGAAAGTTGTTTTTAGTTCCATATGTTCTTTAACTGTAGGAATGCTGTCCTTGCTTTGCCAATCCTTGCCTTTACGTCTGCATCTGAACCTCCTTGTTCATCGATGATGCTTCACAGGTATGTGAAGGACTCTACATTTTCCAGAGTTTCGCCATCAAGAGTGATTGGATTGTTGTTTTCCGCTTTGAATTTGAGGACTTTGGTTTTCCCTTTGTGTATACTGAGGCCTACTGATGCAGAGACTGCTGCTACACTGGCTGTCTTCATCTGCATCTGTTCGTGTGTACGTGATACGAGGGCTAGGTCATCTGCGAATCCCAAATCGTCTAATTGATTTTGAGCTGTCCTTTGTATTCCGTGTTTTCCATCAGATGTCGAGGTCCTCATAATCCAGTCGACCACCAGGAGAAAAAAGAAGGGAGAGAGTAAACAGCCTTGTCTTACTCCAGTCCATATTACGCTCTTGGAAGAGTTAAACTGGGTGCTCAAACTTCCTAAAATAGAGCCCTTGATAGCATTGTCGCGCTTAGACTGTGTATTTAAAAACCAAGAATGTCTAACTGAAAGCCGCTCAATCCCGGCTCTCCTGGGTAAAAGTGTTCATGCCGTCATAGCATTCCATTTCATCAGCAAATCTGAGCTCGAACATCTCGCTAACAGCAGGCGTTGAAATTTCAAACAGTTGGATGTGTCGGCTTTACAGAACAACTTTGCCATCTGAGACATGTTACAGACTACGTATACAGTTGAAGTATTACCCTTATAGAGGTATCCTAAGTTGGAAAATATCTAGAAGTGATTGTATACTTCAATTTGAGGTCTCTTCCTAACTGCGACAAAAATGTCTCCCAAGCAAACCTTTCACTGGTAACGTTGAAACGCATTTCCAACTAGTTCGAAGGAAGAACTTTACACACAATCTTTGACAGTTTTTTTCATCTCTATTTAGACTATGGAAACGTGGTGTTTCCTCCCTCACTCCGAACGTATCCAACGGCGAGCCACAAAATCAATTTTGGGATTCGAATTCAAGTTTATGAAGAGCGACTTCAACCAATAAACCTCTACCCATTAGAATATAGGCATTTGAGATATGAACTAATGAGTTACAGCATCCTAAACCGTTCTGGATATCCCCTTAAACAGACACATAAGCTTAGTCTCAGCACAAATATTAGGGGTAACACCCAGAAACTGGAGACAACACAGAGGAACAGAATGTAGACATACCTTCTAATCCTTGAGAGTAGAAGAAAGGCTGTAATTTGCTGACGGCTGAACTGGTCCAAGCGATATCCCAAGAGTCATTTAAGAGAAAACTTGACATATTCTTAGGGATTAAAGATAGTATCTTACGATGAATTATCAAGGTTTTTTTCTTCTTCTTCTTTTATCGATAATATACCCAGGTTTTTACCTGGCGGTACCGGTGACCCGCTGCTATTAGACACGGAAGCCCGTTAAGAGAAAGATTCTCCTATTCCATCCAAAACCATTTGAGCTATTTAAATCCCATACGTTGATGATTCGATAGGAAAGTCGATAGTCAGTTGGCAAGTAATTTGTTCCGAACTTGTGAACATTTGTAAACCGTTCTTGTAAATTCTTTTATTGGAAGACAAGAGGGAACGTCATATGTAAATTAATTACCAGTTAATCTAAAAACTGTGATCAAGCCTCTCTGGTTCTTCAATATGATAATGGTAATTTTTTTAGTTTAGACAGTGGCTCATCATACGGGAGCTTCACTATTCTGGGACCATTTTAGTTGCGGTTCTTTTAATCTTTTCAAACAGCTCGCTGTCTCTTTATAGGCAGGGGCTAGCCACTTATATCCAGTACTCGAGTTTATGATGAGCGAATACTGTGTACAGATCCTAAAATGTTTTTAGTATCGACGTGACTAAAGGAGCTACCAATTAACTATAGAGTTCTATAACTTTTGACGGCTATCGCACGACAGTGTGCAGTAGTTTTAAAGTCTTGACTACCGATGACTCCCAAGTCGTTGTGGGTCTGGGTAACAGGTATCTTACTTATATTCACCAAGTACGTATATTTACCTTGGTGACCATATGTATAATAATGCACTTAGAAAAAATTATCGGCAACTGCCAAATTTTAGACCGTTCAGTCAGTTCCATTAGTTTATTTTGAAACTCTTAATTATCACATTTACTAGTTATCACTCTGAACATCTTGACATTTTTATTATATAACAAAACCAAAGATGATAGGAAACAAGAAAGGACATTTATGTACCGGAGGAACAACAATTGCCTCAAAACTGTACCCTGATGCACTCTGTTAAGCACAGTTTCATAGCTAGAATATTTGAGTTATCCCGTACTCGTTTTCGGTGCTCAACTAGGATGTCGTTTATCCACATTTATAAATGTTGACGTTCTACATGTTTATCATTGTAATTAGTACTTAGCGAAGTGCAGTAAGGCTTCTTTCTTGACATTTAACTTATGGTACTGTGTGGATGGACTATAGAGTACTGTTAAAACACCAATGCTACATCACTCTGATAACATCTAAATTTGGATAGACGTGACGACGGGTGGTTACGTATGTACACTGCAGGCTGGCCTGGAATTCTTCTCAAACTTATCTAAGTTATAGATAAGCCCTATCAACGCGGACGAATGTTACAATAATAATAACAGTTATATTAATAATAATACATTGAAGCGCGAACTCTGAAAGTGGTAACATCTTTTCACGTGGTTTAGGGATTCTTCGACTTGCTCTTTTGTAGGGTGTATTATACTGTGATTATCATCCTATACTGTACATCGGGTACACCTTACCCCGAAAAATAAGGAAAAACATATTTTTTTCGACAAACAATTACAAGTTCGTGTTGTACCTATTGCGGACTTAAGTTGTAAATAGATCTGCAATTTATTATATACTGATAGTCTCTAATCCTAGTATTAACTAGCTTAATACTTAATAACAACTACAACTCAGATATTATATTTAATTTAACGAGCACTGTGCTCACTTATTTTCATATCATGTCCAATAACTCCAGTAAAAGAGGAATTTCACCAACTTCTAAGCCAAATAAAAGGTCCAAATCTGTAACCCCTACAACTGACGACTCAGTGCTTGACAATGTCGAACCTTTAACTACTGAAAAATATGTGTATTG